AGAACAAATCTGTACGTACGAACGGTTCTTGCATGAGGCCCATTCTCTGGAAATGTTAGTGTTTTTTAAATGCTTATTGTGACAAATTAACAACCAAATTAACAAAAGGCATGTTTGCATGTATCTGCTGTATTAATGTTCCAGACAAGGTTACCAGATAGGAAATTATGAACATTTGCACTCTCAGACTGCAGGTTTAATTGTGGTTCCTCGAGTTTCTAAAAGTAGAATGGGAGGCAGAGCTTTCAGTTATCAAGCTCCTCTCTTGTGGAACCAACTTCCAGTTTCTGTCCGTGAGGCTGACACTCTGTCTACTTTTAAGATTAGACTGAAGACTTTCCTTTTTCAKAAATCTTACAGACAGATAAGGACTGCTAGAACAAGCTCAACTAGTTTTAACTTTGCAGTCTGTAGCAGSTTTATACAGAGCACAAATTAATGTGTTTTTTCATTCACCTCTGCAGACAACCTGACACAGAGGTCCAAACTTGTACTTGTGTAAAAGTACTAAACTGAAAATAGGTTACATTCCATGTCAATGTCCTGCATTACAAATAATGCATCTGTTTGTTGTCCAACAAAAAAATACATCTAAAATGAAACAATGAAAGTTAACTTTGATACAACGTACATCTTTTATTGTCTGTGTTTAATTTTTTTTAGCAGAACATCTTAAACCAATTAACAAATTTTAATTAAACTCTCAAAGTAATTATTTAATGCGYATCTATAACTACAGTAATTAGCTGTTAGAGTCAATCCCATTCACTAAGTGACCTAGTACACAAAAAAGGCTACAACTGAGATGGATGTACAGAAAGTGACACAAAATTTGGTGCAGTAGCTGAGACTCAGCCAACACGTACTTCCAGAGCTACTCACTGCAAAAATTTGTTTATACAAGACAGTAAGATCTTGGTAGACTGCACATAAAGCTTGTTTTAGGTTTGACCAAAATGGACCCAACGCTGTTCTTTCTTAACATGAAATGATTTTAGCTTTAAGTTTGGCATAAAGGTGATGGGTGATAAGGATTCCTTCAATAATCTAGRTTAAAATTTAGGAAAATCTTTAAGTTCTAACAGCAAGACTTCTATTTCTTTTAGTCACCTCATTGCCCTTTGACAATTTGTAAAAAATGAAATAAAATAATATAAAATAAGAAATACCTAAATCTTATCTGCAGGGATG